TCACCATTATTGGCTATAATTAATTAAAATGCATGGAAAACACCATGAAAAAGTGCAACAGAAATACGCTAAAAACTCATGAATGAGATTTAGGGCCCATTCACACTGGATGCATTGCGTTGCAATCAGTTGCAATGCATCGTTCAAAGGATGCTAAAAGAATTGTGCAGATAAATTAATGGGTGTGAATAGGGCTAGGTCACACCATTCTGTTGCTTTATGTTGCGCTGAAAAAAAGTAGAACATGCACTACTTTTTTTCAGCTCAACAGATCCAGTGTGAACTAGCCCCTTACACACCCATTCATTTTTTGGTGCCCTTCTGTTAGCATCTGTTGAAAAAGGGATCACAACACAACAGATCGGAAGGAAATCGGAAGGTACAATTGCAAGTCAACGGGCCCTCCTTCCTATTTTGGTGTGAATGCACTCTTAAGGATGGATGTCTTGATGAAGGGGTCCTGCATGTCCTTGATGAAGGGGTCCCATCTGACCTTGCTGAAGGGGTCCTGCATGGTCTTACTAAAGGGGTCCAGCATGGCCTTACTGAAGGGGTCCTGCATGGCCCTAAATAGATGGGTGTCATCTGGCCGTGATGAAGGGAAATTACATGGCCTTGATTGAGGAGTCCTACATGGTCTTGCTGAAGGAATCCTACATGACCTTGCTGTAGGGGTCCTGCGTGGCCTTGATGAAAGGGTTCTGTATGACCTTGATAAGAGGGGTCTCATCTGGCTATAATGAAGGGGTTTTACATGACCTTGATGGAGGGGTCCTACATGGTCTTGATGAAGGGGCTCTGCGTGGCCTTGATGAAGGGGTCCCATGTGGTGCCAAAACATTGCACAATTTATGGTGTTAAATGCAATAAAAGCAGATTTCATTCTGGTGGGTAGATGACCTATATTTAAAGGAGAACTATGGGGTAAGTGTTTTTCCCCATAGTTCTCCTAAGGGTCAAGGGAGGACACAAACTAGCGTCTTCCCGTGACCCAAAGCTCAGTCTACCGCAAGCTACAGCTCGCGGTATACTGAGACCACCGCAGCCATGTCGGATCCCGACATTACTGTCGAGATCCACCCAGATGCGTGATTGACAGCTGACTCTGCCTATCTAGAGGCAGAGCCAGCTGTACCCGCCCCCTCCCCTGTCCGTTCCGCCAGTCAGCGCTGGAGGATCGGTCAGGGGAGGGGGGAATCCCTGCAGGGAGCCGTGAGTGACAGTTACAGCTCTCTGCAGGGACAGGCTTGAGAAGTGAGCGAGCGATGGTATGTTTTCGCTCACTTCCCGATCTATTGAGCCGACATGTGACAGTTTCATTGTCACATGTCGGCTCGAACTATGAGGATGTGTGATTTTCACTCACCTCATAATTCTCCTTTAAGGAAACCTGACTCTTCCCCACTATGTCCAAAATTGCAGAAAAAACATGTGTTTAGAAATTCACTTAAAGGTGCATTTACGAACAATTTGCAGAGGTATCCATTGTGCAAAAATTGGTGAATGTACATTATCTGTAAATATAGCCAAAAATAAACATTCTTAGGATATTATCTTTTAAAGTCAAATGTAATATCATGAAAATTATGGCCACCGGATGGAGCTGAGAAGGATAGGAAAGCTTTATTTATTACCTACGCTCCTCAACTCCAGCTATTGACCATAATGTTGTATTTCATTACATTCAACTTGAGGATATATGCTAAGAACCTTCATTTATTTCCCCCACCATTTGTACAGAACAAACATTATTGAAGTTTCGCAAGATAAATGGTTCTACAAATTACTGATAAAACACCCCTTAAAATCTATGGAGATATGTATCCTTGTTCCCTATGATTTTCAACAGTTATGCCATAAATAAGTTGACGTTCAATGTACCTCAGCCTTCTTTATAACTTCAACATTATCTATTTCAAGAGTACAGTTTATCCACGTCCGAGCTTTTTGTGGCTTACTCTGTTACCTTTGTTGTTGTTATTTTTGTGTTCGCTAGAACCTCACATGCCATTGTTCTCGCTCTATAACTACTGCTCCACCAACACAACAAAACAAGAGAAAGAAAAGAAACAGTCTTAGGCTTTAACTTCATAGTGAGCATCCTTTAGATCCGCACTGACCTGACTTCCATTAATACATTGTGTTTCCACTCTAACTGCCATTCAGAACTGGTGCTGTTTGTGTGAAGGGCACTCGTACTTACATAAAAGAAGAGAAATGGGGGGGGAGGTTTTTGTTGAAAAGAGAAGGCAGCGGAGTTGGCGCTTTATTAAATTCTAAGCGGCAGTAACACTTGTCCTGCAGTTATAGTTATATTGACCCGGAGAAAGGCAATCACATCCCTAGGAAAACCCTCGGCAATTATGTCTATGTCTGAGAAGGGGAAAACAAATTGCATATTGACTTTGGTAATGGCAATTAAGATTCCTCTTCGGATCCCTTAATCTGCATCCATTTCACCGATGTATGTTAATGTTACAGGCTTCCCATATGGTTATTGCTATTATCTCTTACTTGCAGAAGAGGTTAGCGCCTAGAGGACAAAGCGTGGAAGTAATCACCCGTAACAGTATATGAAAACATGCAAGATGTAACGGATTCAACCTCCTAGCCAAGCTGAAGTCGTGTAAGGATAGCGGCTGTTGGGGATATCACACATAACAAATGGCGCTGTTTCTGACACAGTCGTTTGAAAAGTTGTACTGGATGAAATAACACTTGCTATATAAAATAAACAATCATAAACAAATAAATGTCCTAGGGATTCCATAAAACGTGATCATCTAAGGCACAATGTGCTCTTTTGAAAAAATTGCAAGTTAGTAATGAAATGCCTAGAAAATCTTTACTGAATTCAGATGAGTTCACTGTAGGAATGTGTAATACACAAAGCGTAAGCTGCTTGCCACATGCAAAAGTGCTAGAAAATATATCATTAATTAGGTGCAAAAATGTGCATGGCGGAATTAAATCTTTGCAACGGATACAAGGATAAATGTGTTGAGTTGGAATTTGCATTGAATTTGTGAAAAGCTTCAGGATAATTGCACTTTTAGATCAAAAAGGGTTGGAAAGAGTTAGAAGCTCACTGACTGGTTTTACTTGTTGTCTGCACTTGTACGTCAAGCCAAAACATTTTCTTAGTTTTGGCAAGAGTAGGGAAGGATCGAACCCCTGCCTTTTTTTTTCTTCTGATATCCAGGGATCAGTTAGAAAGATATCCCCTAACTTCCTGCCCAGCCGATAACAGTTTCACTACACAGGAAGTGAGGGAAAATCTGCATGAATGTGTTTATGCTTATTCCTATGTATTTAGCACTGACAAAACTATACACGTTCTTTTTGAGTTCTGTGACATGATGTTCATCTGCAACATGAACAAAGACTCACACCCTCCCTTCCACGTACCTGCAGCTCAGAGCAGGAGACAGTTCAGACACATGATAAACGATCCTCTGACAGTACATACAGAGGCCGGAAGGAATTACAGTGATATGCTCCAGAGACATGGGACATGACTGGGCTCACAGCTAACACACAGTGCAGCCTTAAACTCAGCTCCCACAGAACAGGGGGCAGGGCGGCCATGACTCTACAGCGAATGGAGCCACGACACTACTCTAGCAATCTGAGGCCATTTGTCTGCTGGCCGGGTGATACTATCACCCCCGCCCCCCCACCAGCATCCTCAGGCAGCCGCTTGAGCTGCTTGTGCACTAGCGCCTGCCCTGTCCCTAGTGCCCACAAACACTCTGCTCATCCCAAGTGCCCACAATCCTTCCACTCATTCCTAGCAGCTACAATCACCCCGCTCATTTCCAGTGCCCACAATCAATCTGCTCATCCCTGGCGGGCACAATTACTTCGCTCATCCCTAAGTGGCCACACTCACTTCGCTCATTCTCAATGTCCACAATCACTCCACTCATTTCTAGTGGCCCTAATCACTCCACTCAAGCATAGTGCCCACAATCACCCCACTCATCCCTAGTGTCCACAATAACTCTGTTCATCCCTAGTGTCAGCAATCACTCTGCTCATCCCTGGGTCCACAATCACTCTGCTCATCCCTGGGTCCACAATCACTCTGCTCATCCCTAGTGTGCACAATCACTCTGCTCATTCCTAGTGCCCACAATCACGCCACTCATTTCTAGGAGCTCCAATCACTCCACTCAAGCATAGTGCCCACAATCACCCCACTCATCCCTAGTGTCCACAATCACTCTGCTCCTCCCTAGTGTCCACAATCACTCTGCTCCTCCCTAGTGTCCACAATCACTCTGCTCATTCCTAGTGTCCACAATCACTCTGCTCATTCCTAGTGTCCACAATCACCCTGCTCATCCCTAGTGTCCACAATCACTCTGCTCCTCCCTAGTGTCCACAATCACTCTGCTCCTCCCTAGTGTCCACAATCACTCTGCTCATTCCTAGTGTCCACAATCACTCTACTCATCCCTAGTGTCCACAATCACCCTGCTCATCCCTAGTGTCCACAATCACTCTGCTCATCCCTAGTGTCCACAATCACTCTGGTCATCCTTAGTGTCCACAATCACTCTGCTCATTCCTAGTGCCCACAATCACTCCAGTTATCCCTAGTGTCCACAATCATCCCTAGTGTCCTCAATCATTATGCTCATCCCTTGTGGCCACAATTACTCCACTCATTCCCAGTGCCTACGATCACTCTGCTCATCTTGTATATTTTCCTTCCACCTGCTATGTGTCTTAAATGCATAAACAAAGATGTTATTTCACACAAAGAGTTATTGTCTTTCTGAAACTGCCTCAGGGTTATGCTATGTGAAACATGTTTTTTGTTTTACAACATGCTGTACACTCGTAGCACTCTGATAACAATATACACAGAAACGTGAATATCTTGCCGCTCAGTATGGAACATTAGGAGTTCAAGTTATTGTAGCACTGCAGTCTAGGCCATTAACTGCAGAAAGGTCATGTGCGCATAAAGGAAGACATTAAAGAGACATTACCTGCTTCGTTAGTCCTGATGACCCGGGAAGGTATGCTGGGGTCCCCGGTCCCAATGCTGTTAGTGGCGACGACACGGAATTCGTATTCCACCCAGGGATTCAGATCGAGTGCCATGGCAGACTCCATATCTCCGCTAATAATGTCAGGAACTGTGAAGTGAAGATATCACATGAAAACAGGACTGTTTGTATGTTCCATGAATAATAGCCTGTCAAAGTTACCTGAAAGTGTCATGCTTCTGAGCTCAAACTGCATACATCTGTCTTTTTATATACCCGCATGTAGGTATTGACCTATCTTTTATAATACTAGAAAAGGACATTGCCTACATTGTAAGGACATTACTGGAAATGTCATAGTAAGGTATTTTTTGAGGATCCCAGATTCCTTGTTATTGTTAATCTTGGTTCTGTGATTAACTTTGCAGGTCTGGGATATTTTCAGAGGGGAATTGAACTAGTAAAGGGGTCTATTAAACCCTTTAAGCTGGATTCACCTCTGTGCGGGGTAATAATGCAGGTCACGTTACGTATACATTTAAATGAGCAACCTACAGCACCAAAATGCATTAAATGGTACATGCGCCATTTTTAGAGATACAGTGCACCAGAACACATGATACAGCAATGTCATGCATTGGCATGGCACATTAGGGTGCCATTAAGAATAAATGCCATGGCACTGCAGGGAACAAATGCACACTACATGCATTGCCCCACAATTGCGTAATGCCGTCCTTGTTCAGAGCCCCAGGCATGCACAGATCACTCTCTTTCCATTGCACCCACAGCAACAGGATATGCTTGGGTCTCTGAACAAGGACGGTGGTTGCTCCTGTGATGCTGAGGGAGAGTGCCGAATGGCTGTTTTGTCCTGGACAGAGCTATATAGAATATTGGTAATTTTTTCATTCAGGCTTCAGTGGGGGGTGCAGATGGCCTACAGGTATGGCAGATACATCAATAATGGTTAGTTTATTGTTACCTTCTCAGGCTTCTTGACTGCAAAGACTATTTTTTTTCCAAACCCTTTAAAGGTGAACTCCCAGATGAGTAAATATTGTCAAGAGCTATGTGTATTCTTACTTGAATACAAGTCCAATCTTGATGTGTCCAGTAATATAGCATCTGTGCAGGAGCTTCATATAATAAAGACCAAGCTTTGCTGCTCTCTCTGCTTGTGCAAGGTGACTGGTCTTGTCTGTCTGTAGTTTTTTTGTAGGTAGCCTGTAGTGGATGAGGCTTGCTAGGTCTTAGCTCAGGCCATATGCAGTACAGTAATGTCACTGCTACTTTCACAAGGAAAATGGCTATTGCGGAATATATTTATATGAAAATTTATGTGAACAGAGTTTAGCTTTAACCACATTGAAAAGATAATCTTACTGAAGATCTTCTAGATTTGATACCGCCGGGAGTGATCTCTGCTTCCATCTGCCAGCCCCCGTGTCACAACAGGAAGGCGGAGTTAACTGCAAACCACAGTGCGAGAATCGGCATCCGGCGCAATACAAATAATTGTAATAGATTAAGATCGTTCACCAAGATGATCTTTTTTAATACAGATGAGTTTGGCCATGCAAGAAATGGGGCCTTGCCAGGGTGTAAATGTACAATGGGCTGCAATTGACTCTAAATTGCAATGTGTGATCATGCCCTAAAGTCTAAATCAAGCCCAAAAAATATTTTTTGGGGGGTAGGGATAAGATAGGGGAGGGTTATAATCTCTGTGTGTTTTACTATTGTCTGCGTCTTTGGTGGACAAATTTTACCTAACTTCCTGTCTTGATAACAGGAAGTATGGGGAATGCACCCCTGGGATGACTCAGACAGCCATTAAAAAAAATAAAAAGGCGCAGATTTTAACCCTATAGATATTCTCTATACTATTCACAATGCCGCCTATCAAAACCAAATCACAGCAGCATTTCTGACAACGTTCTCAAAATCTGAAATATGCCTTTAATATCGAAAGATGAGAGCAGCTGCATATACAGCTTAGCAGGGACAAGTAGCCGGGCACTTTTAATACATTTTGTTTTATACAAAGCGTTATTACTTTTCAGGCAGTCAGATTACATTACTTTCAGCCATAAAAGTGAGAAAGCACCGCAGTCATTTTCCTATTTTGTTATTTATAAAAAGCTTTTCAAGTTCCATGAACCAAACATTATTCCTTTTCTTTAAGAGCTTGATGGCTGCAGGCATGTGGACTTGTGATCCAATTTTGAAAGTGTTGATACATAGGCAATTTACTGCTTCAGGTAGCTATAAAAGTATGCTCGAGTCCAAGAACTTTACCCTTCCCTGTAAACATTGTGCAGCCAGCAGAACAACCAATATTTCACAGCCTCGGCAAAGAAAAAAAAAAACATCTATTGAGATTTGCTTACTTACCCACAAAAAAAAAATATGTTTACAAGTCTAAAAATCAAAGTCACCTCTCGGGTCACAGCTAAAACACAATTTTAGTTTGTTTTCACTTTTATTTTTTAGTTTTATTCAAGAGGCTCTTAACTTGGCATTCCAGATTTTATTTTTTTAATATATTTTATCTTGTTTGGCCAACTCTGTACCTAGCAAAGCTATTCTAATCATTGATTGGACAGGGGGGTACTGTGCTAACTGCAGGGGTGTAACTAGAAATCACAGGACCCCATAGCAAAATGTTGTATGGGACCCTGTGATTTCTAGTTACGCCGCTTGCAGAGCCCACCTGAAATCACAAACAGCTCACCTGAGAGTGACCCTGCAGAGCCCACCATAGACTCTATGGTGGGCTCTGCAGGGTCTCAGGTGGGCTGGTCACACCCCTGCAACCTCTTACCTGTCACCCTCCTTCACCGCGGGCCCCGCCTCCTCCTCTGCTGCTAGCGCTGGACCCAGCCTCCTTCTCCTCTGCAGCTGCTGGCTGTCACTGACTCAGCAGCGGCTGTGAGAAAGAACGTGCCACTGCACAGATCACTGACAGGTTGTCCTCACAGCCGCCAGTGACAGCATCAGGGGGACCCCTTTGTCCCTCGTCCTAGCTGGGCCCCCCTGTTCCCCGGGCCCCATAGCGGCCGCTTGGGACCAGCCACTGGCTACTGGGGTGGATATAAATGCTGGGGTATATTCCTAACACTCATCAGAACTGAAGAAGGGGCTTTGAGAAGCTAAGAAATATATCCAATACTACAGAACACGTCCAGTTGACTAAATACTACTAGCTACTATAATCACTGGTTAAATTAAAGGGAACTGTTGTACCTGTGTAGATGTAAATGCTGTGGTGCCTTCCTGACACTCATTAGAATTGAAGAAGTGGCTTGGAGAAGATACAAAACATCTTCGGCATTACAGAACAATTCCAGCTGAATGGGACTAAGTACTGCCAGCTATTATAATCAGCATGGGTTACTAAGCAGAGTCACAAGGTGCTCTATCAAGCTAGAGGAGGTGGCACAGGATCTAAACCCAAGGGTGTAGTCATTTTTACAGCAGTTTGGACAATAACACAGCTATGTATATGTAGCCCATGAAAATGACACATATATACTGTATATATTTACAAATGTTATTAATTGACTTTTTATTCAAATTTTTAAATGCGACCAAAAGGGGGCTCTACAAATTCCTAATAGTTAAAAAGCCACAGTGATCCATACATTGACGGATATTGTATTGCACATACACATATCTTCGCACACATGTGCAGAAGCTTAAAGTGTATTTCCACTTTTGCAGCCAAATTGGGATAACACCTATTTTATATTTGTTACATGTTCCCATTCACATAGCATACGCTAAAGAAAAAAAATGCTTCTTGTAAGCCCACTATTATTAACTCCTTTTTTACTACTTTCTGTGTTATTTTTATCTATTAAATCTATTAAATCGAGCGGCGGCGGCATCAGCGATAGTGCCCGCCCCCCGCCGAGGTTTTCTGGGTCCCCCGTTCCTCTGCGGGACTGTGACCCGTCACGATCCCCCATGGGAGCTCACCATAGAGCCCATTGAGCAGACGAAGAACAACGTTCTTCGTTTGCTCTGTGTGATTACTGAGACAGCGCCACCTGTCTCAGCAGTCACTAACTGCAGCTTCTGTGACAGAATTTCTGTCATAGAATTTCTGTCACAGAAGCCATGCGTTCTATCGTCCGGAGCGTCTTATAGACCGCAAAATACGGTAAATAGCTTTTACTTGGGTTAGGGTTTTAAGGGTCAACATTTCTTCTTGCTTCTATTTCTGTGAAATGTTAAGAGGGGCTGTGAGGGGTCTGAGGTGGCTTGTCCATTGTGTGATAATTAAGCTTTTCAGATAAACAAGATCTTAAAATTTCAGTTCCAAAACTTGGGACAGACCACTGGGAAAGAGCTAAGAAAAACCTAAAATCGGCCATCTTGCTTGATTTAACAAAACATCTAAATGGTAAGTATTTTTATATTTTTGCCCAAACACTTACAGTCATCATGTTTCTGAACAGATCCAACTCTCTCAGCTCAGCTTCCCTGAACTTCCTGTTCAGTGCAAGATCACAAGGGACAGAACAGTCTCCAGCAGTTGTCGATCTACTAGCTTGGAGAAGAGAAGAAGTAGGAGAGTGGAGCAAGGGGAGGGGAGTGGCTTGCCCTACCGTGCCTGTGTGTTTGTGGAAATGCACACAACTTACTGGAACCCACAAGAGAGGCTCCATAGGACCTTGCAAAGCAAAGGAAGCACCCTAAAACAGAATATCAGGACCATAGTTTAGAGAACAAGCTGATTCTGCTGGAAGCTAAAGCTCTTAAATATCAAGGAGCAGCATCCATTATAAATCCCTTAAATCAACATTTTAAATAGCTTAAAAACAATTTGACTTTATTATTACTTTAAACAATGTCTGTCCCAACAAAGGGTTAAAGATCTAGAAGCACAGAGTGTTAATGAGGGGAAGTTCAGTCTGTCCCTAGTCTTTCTATGTGGACAGATGGGGTTTCCCATCACTTTGCTAATGGAAGAGAAGCTTGCTAAGGCCTGCTACACAGACACATCTAAAAGGTAAGAATGTTTTTATTATTACTATTATTATTATTATTATGTATTCAACGAGAACAAATGAACATACAGAAGGGTTTTCTCAAATGTGACCGCAAAAGTGGACATACACCCTAAGCAATAGTTCATATATCAGACTCCATACACTGGTGCTGGTAAACAGAGATGCCAATGATCGATATCTGTACATACTATGTAATTTTTTTAGGACAGCATAGAGATCAGGGGGTTTTGGTAAGCCGTTTTGCTTGTCACAAGTACATTTTATTGCTTAATGAGCCAGTCAAAATATTATTATTTTTTAAATTTGAATTAACAAAAATGTTGGATACAAATAGCACTACCCAGCGTATTAGCCCAGGTGATCCGAGACCTCACCCCAAATAATTCATTTGTAAAAAAAGGGTTTCACAACCTAGGTTGTAGTGGGGTTTTAAAGAGGTGTATCCAAGTTGATTAGGACACATATAAGAGGAAATATGTTCGGTTGAACAAAATACAGAGATTTATAAAATATGGTTTATTGATGGACATACCGCTAAACAATGAATTATCTATTCATAACTAGATTCTTGCCAGGAATAAAACTCCCTGAGGAAGCTTACAAGCGAAACGCGTTGGCTGAATTGGAGCAGTTCATTACTGCACATGAATTATGTGAAAAATGAGATGTATAATATCAAAGACAATATGTAAATATATGAGTTGTGAGAATTGGGCAAGAATCAGGAACTGAGAATCAGGATTATCTATTGGAATGTTTTAATTTTGTCATATTAATATATTCCTGAATTGTAATAAATGTATATCAAATTGATTACCATCTGACGCCGCTTTAGAACCCCACTCCATCTAGGTTGTGAAACCCTTTTTTTTACAAACAAAAATGTTGAGGTGCACATTCAGAAGTGAATCTTATCGGAATAAAAGGAACAAAAAGCAGCATTATGCGGATGTTCAATGCACACAGCAAACTAGGACTGCAACGTACACAATAAACATCAGTGTACGATCACCTAGATAGGTTTTGAGATTGCAGTTGCTAAGTGCACAGACCTGTATGATGCAGGTATACCGTAGCGATTTATCCCTGCTTATCTACTTTAGTAAACTTAGCCCAATGTGATTGGTTGTTATATACTTCACTTCTGTAGAGCAACCTTGTAATGTCATTTATATAAGAATAGTGAAGCATCTGCTAATGATTTCCCAAACAAATTGCCAAGTAAAATTATTCAGTATGTATTATAAAAGCCCCCTCTCTCCCAGCTCCAATCTCAAAGCTCTCTATATATAACCTGACCTACATTTATATCAGGTGTCCACAGGCAGATCAAGGTTTTCCTGCCCCTCATCTTCAATAATGAAAGGAGAAACCCATGAAGGCCCAAGATAGATGTCATCACTAAACATGCACCAGCCTATTAAATGCATCCGCTTCCATATAATAAGGTGTGACTGCAAATTAGGCATGGCTTAGGGTTTAGGGCTGCATGGTTTAGCCACGGATTGTGTAAGCAGATGAAATTGCCTATCGTATAATCTCCGGGTTTTATGGTAATGATACTTTTCTATATTATATACGCTGCAAATCTGCCAAAGACATGTCTTATGAAAGCTATATAAATAAAAAAAAAAGCCAGGACCAGCTACATTCCTCTGTATCCCTACAGGGGATTCTTGTTAGCCGTCTGCTATTGTATCCTATCAAAAGATAGGGAAAGAAATGTAGCAGGAGATACTGAATGGAGGCTAGACAATTAATTTTCTTCTTGGTACTGCTAGCAAGCCTTGCTTCAGCAATTCATTCTCATTAAGCCAGCTGCGAGATGACAGTCCAAGATGAATTGGGAAAAAATGTTTTAGTATTTGTAAAAGGTAAAATCAGAGACGTAATCGGGGGAAAAACAAGAATTACACAAAACACACACAAGAAGTGAGCAAAATAAAACAAGGTTTTAGTGTATTTCAATTGATCAGCCCATCTAAATCTGACATTTCAGTTCTTTAAAAAGCATCTCTAGGTGATCCAGCAAGCTATGCGCTTGCCCTTCGGAGTCAGGGAGGGATTTCTCCCATAATGGAATAAATTGGATCATGTTTTATATAGTATATAGTATATAGTATTTGAGGTTGAATAAAGACATTAGTCCATCAAGTCCAACCTATTAGGATCTCATTCTAGGAGTACCCGTACCCCTGTATATTACGGTCCCTTAAGAAATCGTCCAAAAGTTTCTTGAACAATTCCACATTATTTGCTGAAATCACCGCCTGTGGCAGTGAGTTCCAGACCCTAACTGATCTTACTGTGAAGAACCCCCTTCGCCCCTTGTGCTGGAATTTTTTTTCCACCAATTTTAGGTGATGGCCTCTAGTTTTTGTAACGGAGTTAATTTTAAACAGTTTATCGCTAATGTTGCTACCACCATTAAACATTTTGTACATGGAAATCATATCCCCCCTTAATCTCCTCACCTCTAATGTGAACATGTTTAAATTTAGTAGCCTTGTCTCGTAGCTCTGGTCCTCCATACCCCTAATTAGTTTGGTTGCCCTTCGCTGGACTTTTTCCAACTCAAGGACATCTTTTCTTAGTACTGGTGACCAGAACTGGACCGCGTACTCCAGATGAGGTCGTTTTCACCTTCATAAGGGTTCTTAGGTTGGAAGCTCTTTTATTTTTTTCACTGTCAATTTTCTCAGTGTCCTTTATGTTTTGTTGGCACCAGTGGTAAAATCTTCACACTTTAGTTCTGATTCTGAATTTACTTTATATTATAGAGGATACAACACCAAGAGTGGTAACACCTTCCCGGGAGTAGGGACATTTAAAAAGTAGGTGAGAACAGACCTAGTGTAACGTACCTCGGCTCCGTGCCACGTCCCGTGTGCGTTCCAGCGTGGAACACACCAGACAGGGAAGCCGCCGAGGGTTCCCTCCCCCATTAGGGGAGGTACTATGCGCTCCACGCTGGAACGCGGAAGTGCGCCGCGGCCGCATGACGTCACGGTCGCGGCCTATTTAAACTGTCTGTGAACGCTGCAGGGTGTTCACTATTGGGTTCGCAAGCCCAAACAAACCCCAGGACCTTTTGCTCCAAGGAAGCCTGCCTCCACTTACTCCAAGAGGACGAGCCCAGCACCCTGCAGACCAGTGCATAAAAGCGCAAGTACTTCTCAGTGCTCTCTGAGCCATCATATGGGACTTAGAGGTCGTCCTCTACTAGATTGGGAGTTGTGCATAACTTATGGACTGCCTATGTTATACTGCCTTGAGATCTGCATACGTTGTATCTAGCCCGCTTAACCTAGAGGGACTGTGAGATTCATAACCCGTGCTAAATATCAACCGTATATATATACATGTCTGAAGTTATATTGGGGTGACTGATTGCTCATTGTAACTACGTACACTCCATATACTTAGGAACCATCTGGCTTCCGTGGGGTTACGGCCGAGTACCACTCACGCTACCTTTTTTGTGTTCTTTAGTTAAAACCGGCAAATGATGCAAGAACCCCAAACTCTCTGTCTTTGCAAGAGAGTGACGCCTGGGGTTCATTGACTGAGTGCCGCCCATTAGTCACACCTCGATCCCTTGAATCCGCAGTTGCGATCCTGACCAAGCTACTTGGAACCAGCGGCTGTGACACCTAGAGACTAGGAGCCATGGGCAGAACAAAAGGGAAAGGTAAATATATAATCTAACTCTAACCCTTAAAGGTACATTTTTGAACGTCTTATATGCCTTCGTTTTTACACAGAAGGGAGCTTGGATCTAATAATGTTATTAAAAAGTCAAAAAATATTGGAAAAAAAGGCAGTTGCACTAGACCAATGTAAGATTTCTCCATTTCTCCATTCCAGCACCAGTAGGCTTATATGTGAATCAAAACAGATTGAGAAGGCAGGAATATTTGGCCAGTTTGCTTTATCAGCTAATAAAAGCAATTATTTACTACTTCCCATAATGGCGCCACATTGAAAAAAAGCTCAGTCAAGTTTATTGGAGGGTCCCTATATGTGCTGTAATGTGATGTAGGTTTACTGGTACCTTTTACCAGGAGAGCTGCTAGGCCTTTGACCCCGGGCCATGTGCCCCAGGTGTTCTTAGTGCCCTGTGTCTCCTTTAATCTAAGTGTTACCATTATTTTAAACATTATTCTATAGCTTACCATAAAATAAAAGTTAAGACAATTTAAAACTAAGGCATTTTACCAGAAAAATTAACATTAGAGCCAAATTTGGCCCAAGACAGGAATTTTAAAACATTGGATTACTTGACACTCTACTTATGGGTGTCTTTTTCTTCTCAGTCCAGGACCAGAGCCAGAGTACTAATGACACAGTTCAAAGTGAGTTTAGTAGCAAAGGGAAGGGGACCAGAGAGAGAACACTACAAACATCACAGGGAATAAGGAGAGGGAAGAGATGACATTGGGGCCCAAAAAAAGCCTCACATATTATTCAACATGGAATGTTTCTAGCTCAACAACGATCTAGGTGTGTATGGGTGCCCTGGGTCTTTCAAGACCCTAACAATGCTCTTGCGCTTTATTCAAAAGCCTACTTAAAAATAATGTCCTTGTTCCAATTCTTTACATATGTGACATTTTGTTCTTTTAAGACAAGAGTCAAGCATACCTGTTCTCACAGTCTGCCAGCCTAATGAGAAAGGGCTCCGGGCTTGTAAATTGTAATAGAGGATGGGGCTGTGATTGTCAGCTCCAGGACTCCAGGACAGTGTAGCGGTAGTCTCAGTTATTTCCTCCACGATCACCACCCCCGGGGGACCAGGCGGACCTGAAAAACAAACATCACGTTGACTGAGCAAGTGTAATCGTGCAAAGAAACACAGGTGATGTTTGAAACATAGCTGGCTTTCAAGCAGATACATTGAGGCATTCAGCTCCATCAAAACATTGTAGGACTGCATTGTGGCTGGCACTTCTGGCTCACTTTTCCTATTCCCGCTGTATGTAGTGCTTAATTTGTCAGGCGCTGGTCTAGTGTGTCTAGGGAGGTTTATACTAGTTACATAGTTACATATAGCATACATACAGTACTGTCTACTGTGTTTTCATATTATTAAATTTTTTGCTTGTATTACCTACTGATACACTTTAATAATATAATATTAATACAGAATGATAGTTTAATCATGATTACAGTGCATTCAGTACATTTCTTAAACAACATTCATTATACTGCATTCATTGATTCCAATTGTCTGCCATGTAGCTATTATTAGCTTTGTATTGTTCGTCTTGTTTGGAGTGTGTCATGTTAACGGCTGTGCCAACAGAATTCTATATTTTACTTGTCAACATTTTGATTACTTCTCAAGATACATCAGAGTTAATGTTGACAGCAAATTCCGATTTAGTTTTAGTCATAGTCCTTTAACTAAAATCCCATTTCGTTTTAGTCATAATTTTGGAATCTGAATTGATCTAGTTTTAGTCTAGCTTTAATCAACTAAATATCATAAGATTTTAGTCGACTAAAATCTAGTGGGTTTAGTTAAATAGTAATTTAAGAATTTTTGCAGAATTTGCAATCTCATTATATATGACACGAGTGACCATCTGTTAACCTGTGATTACTTATGGTATTAAGGTTTCAACATGCAATACAGACACAGATTTAACAGTTGTGATATATAACATGTCTTTATTTATCTTAAAATTAGATTAAACCAAGTCTTATAAAGAAACAATGATATTGAGTATTTTAAGCAAAGGACCAGTAATTAGATATGCACTGATTATAACAACTTGCATATGACATTCTTCATTCTCTCAAGCAGAAGTGCAATTCTAAAATATTAAAATGAAAAACTATATTGGCTTTAATGCCCTTACATATATTACCTATTAGCTGTCCATTTAGGATGGAACCGAAACTGGAAGTCCAAAAAGATTAGCTCTGATTGGATCTCTTCCCAAATTGTCTCTCCCCAACATTTTAGTCTAGTTTTAGTTGACTAAAATGTCAATATATTTTTGTTATAGTTTTAGTCATCGTAACTTCATTTTTATTTTATTTAGTCTAGTTTTAGTCACTGAAAAAGTGTTGCTAACGAAATGTATTAGTCGACGAAATTAACACTGGGGTACAGAAAGAAAAATCTAAAAGGAGGAAGGAAAATACAAATCAAACCATAAATACTGATATATATCTATTACACACATACCTACCCCCTAACCGTCTGAGATTAAAAATACGTACATCTTAAAAGACCATCTCCAAGTAAAGAAAAACAAAAAACTACCCTTGCATTTGGGCTACCTCTGCACTGCAAGGGTCAACTGTTCATTAATGGAGTATTGTGTTAATGTCTTTTACTTAGCTGATCCCTGTTTCCCTGGCGGTTGGCACTCACCCCTCCCCAGGATCTAGCTTGTAAACTGTCCCTTAGTGTCCTCACCTATAATGCAGGGTTCTCTTTTACCGGTGGCCATATTTAAGTGGCTTTTCCTGCTGGTGGGAAGCTTTAAACATCTTTACAGCCCGTGATGGCTGCTACATACAAGTTCTCAGATGACTATAGAGCCACCTAATCCCTTGTATGGTGCTTGGGAAGTGTGCACCCCACACCGGCAGCTATCCCTGGCTCTGCTGTCCCCCTTGCAGGCCCAGAAATGGCACTGCCTTTTACACCCAAGGACGGGCAGAGGAGATATTGCAGGCCCAGCAGCCAGGACACTTCAGAGTAGACTTCAGAGTGGACCCAGGGCTTGTGCTCAGGCTTAGCAACACCTATGACAGCTCTAGATAATGGGAGTCACTGACTTTAATGTAAGGCAGCCATATTGTACAGGGGACATTTAAAAAAACAAGGTCTAACAAGGTCTGCAAATAAATAAAAATTACAGACAGAGGTTGATGAGAGATTTTCTTTTCTGACCGGAATGTCACTTTAACTGATAAACGCAATCCATTTGAAGAGCACCACATATATTACACACGGGCAATCACATTTCAGAACACTTGAAATATTCAAGGAAAAGGTTGTTGGTGGGTAAGAGAAAAAGTCTTTATGCTGAAGAAGCAAAGGCTGAGAAGTGGCAATGTATCACTCTGCAGTCACCAGTGAGAAATAGGTGACAGGCAGGCCGCGGTATGCAGATGTCATTCCCCTCATTGCAATATCATTACTTTTAATGCGGGCCGGTAATCATTCATACTGTCAGATGGATGGTTAGCTTGGAGAATCCTTTCTTCCCAGGGGCTATATCACGACTCACGGTCGCTCGCCAGCAACAGGAGAATAACTGGTTTGGAACAAAATAAATGTAGAACCTTTGTAAGATCATCCAGAAAAAGACATCCCTGAATGTTCTCAAATGAATTCAATCACCACGGGAGACATTTCACTTTTTTCAGCATTAATGTTTTCCAAGACCTTTTGCCATTGTATTAAAATGAAAAAAAAAGACACATCCTTCGTTCAGAGGCTGGAACGTGAATTTATTTTCTCACCCTCAAAGTTTATCCATATGAAAGCAACAGAGTGGCCAGTATTGAAGAGAAGTCCGCTGAGGCACAGGCCTGGCGTGGATAGGACCACAATGGGAAATTGGGAAGCTTGCCCAAGGATCCTGAGTAAAACTGTCTATGACCCCTTTGGTAATGTCAGTTGGCAAGCCAACTAGCCACAGTACAGGCAAAGGAAAGGATTTTTACAGTCTACTTGTGCCATAGTTTATAACTTCCAATTCCCAGGTCCAAGATTTTGGGGTGTTGTCCCTGGAAATAGTCCTTATTTTGAACTTTGTTTAGAGTTAAAGCTTGTTCCCAATATGGGCTACAATCTCATGTTTAGTTTACTAATTTGCACTCAGATTGTAGTCCTTCATGGAAGCGAGCTTGAAGCGGTGGCTACTTTACAATACACAAAGGGACCATGGGGATCAAAAGTAGCCCCCCTCCAGAAGGAAGGTCAGTGTCAGCACCAATTCAGAGATGATTTGAGGATCTACAGCTGAGTGATACACAAATAAGATACATTTTAGTTAATAGTTACGGTACTTGAATGCATTTTTTAGATTTAACTCCTGAGTTTAGTTTCACTTTAAGTTATAAGTATTTATCTCCTATGCTCCTCAGCTCTGTCTAGTGGCCATAATGCAGTATTTTCTGATTATCACATTTGACCTGAAAAGAAAATATATAAAAAAAAAACTTTCCTTTTGTCTCCCACAGAATAAACGTTTAGAGATTTGCAGGGAAAATAGCTCTGCAAATCATTTATAAAAAGACCCGATAGTCTCCATCAGAAACTTGTGTGGCGGGGTGACAGCTGAGGAACACAACTGGGAGACAGGAACAAAGCATGGTCACCCTGTAACGGTAAGCATCTGCAAAAGGACTTCATGGCAGAAATGCCAGGTAACATTTTCATGAAAGCTGCTTATTTAAAGTAGAACTGAAGCCAAATCTTTTTTTTAGTTTCGTACAGAGCAAAAGAGAGTCATAACCTCACGGGCAGGGCCCTCCTTACCATCTGGTCTTGAATCGTATTGTGATTGTAATGTCTTCCTTATATAGTAAAGCACTGCGCAAGCTGTTGGCGCTATATAAATCCTGTATAATAATAATAACTAGGGATGTCTAAAAGGTTGTTAAAATTCTGCGCTTTGGAATATTTCTCAACAGACTATCGATAGGAAGCTGCTGCACTATAGACAACCTGGTCCAGTTATAAATACTGTATAAATAAATGTACAGCGCTAGGGGCCCAATAGGCAGCTATTTAGATGGATCTATTCTAAAGGTGATTGGTTAATAAATAACAGTCAATATTGTATATATAAATAAATCAATTATATAAAATAAATTAAAACCTAATAGTCACTAAATGAAAAATGTGCAAAAAATGCAAAAAGGTACATTACGTGCCAGATATACTTGTGCAAAGATTAACATGTGCAAAACGTTGATAAACATCTACATAGAAAGTGAATTGATTATCTTATAAATATATGTGCCTTTAAATATAAGTCTTATAATTCCCCTTGTTTATATCATATCCAGAGCGATCAGTCCATAATCCATAAGTGAAACTATTAATGCCAATCCAAAATGTGAAATAATATCAAGTCCCAAAAGTGCTTGATCTCTCCAAAGATTGTATTTGTGCCACACAGTCACCCCCTCAAGAGTGCACACCTGCTGTCCCCCTGAAGACATATTTTGATGACAAAACGCGCCGGGGCGGGTCTATCTCATACCACACCAAACTCGAAAGTGCAGGCTCCTGGGCTCCTGTTGAATTGTACCGGCCGGTTGCTTCGTTTTTGAATATGAGTTTTTACATTTTCTTACATAAATGGTCTTGACTACTATACAATGAGGAGCTCTTTTTTTCTATAAATATGGGGATTTATCGATCAATAGGACATCACTGTGAAAGCATCTATAGGAGGCACTGGAATATCGTGATCTATCAGTGGGCTTTTGGGATATCAATTAACAGCCATCTTATTGTGGTGAGTGTGCACTCTTGAGGGGGTGACTGCATGGCACAAATACAATTTCTGGAGAGATCATCAATCACTTTTGGGACTTGATATTATTTCACATTTTGGATATGCATTAATAGTTTCACTTATGGATTACGGACTGATCACTCTGGATATGATATAAACAAGTGGACTTATAAGGCTTATATTTAATGGCACATATATTTATAAGATAATCAATTCACTTTCTATGTAGATGTGTATGATTATATCAACTTTTTGCACATGGATTTTTTGCACATGTCAATCTTTGCACAAGTATATCTGGCACGAAAT